TAGAGAAATTTAGAATACTCATTTCTACTCTAGTGTGTTATTCTAGTATATAAGTATATTGTAACTTATCCCCTTATTTCCATTTTATTTTTCGTATTTTATTATTAAAAACAATACTGCAATGGACATTCTTTAAAATGTACACTAAAATATTTTTCTCAAAATTCCTTTTGAGAATTCCACTAACACACAGTTGCTTATGCAACTGGAAATGGAAATGCAGTGGAAATGGTTGGTCATTGAGATGTGCACTGTCATTACCAAATGCAGTGAAATGAAAAAGCCATTGGTATGGCTCTTTTATAATTTCCACCAAATGGCTGGGTAGGCATATGCCATTGTGAGGTGTCTGTGCCATTTTGGTAGCTTGTAAGTACAGAGCATGGTATCTTTGTGGGGCTTGACCGTTCAAATAAGGTATATAGGTTCCTAACATAGGGATTGATTAGTTTTGTCATCCCAGAGGCAGAAAAGGGGGATCTCACTACCACCAAAAAAGTACCAGGGTTAGAGTATGTCCTTTGAACCTGAGATCCCAGCAGTGAACATCTTTAATCCAGGAGGCAGAGAACTATAACACCAGAGATGGCAAGAAGCAGCAACAGAGAAATGACCTTAGCAGAGGTAGCCCAACCAGGAAATTGATGCAAGATGGAGTGATGGGCATCCTGGTCCATGGAGCTAGAAAGCCGAGGGCCTTTGAGAAGGAGGCTTGCCAACAGAGTGAGTTCCCTCCAGGCACTTAATTGGGTGTGTAGCGGGATACTAAATTTGCTGAACCACCAAGCTAGAGCTGAGCACCTTTAGCTTAAAGATTAGTGCTAGAATGGAATCCCTGTGGGTATTTATCAGCAGAACTAAAAGAACTTTGTGGCACTGTCCCATGCATTGGCGAGATCAGTAGGCAATGTGGCTAAGAGGCTAAGGGCCACAGAGAGGAATGCCTTCCAGCATGGCTAAGAACAGGGTGTCCTGATCAAAGAACTATATCTTGAGCATTCCTGACCCTGAATTGTAACCCTTTACTTCCCTAATAAACCCTGTAGATATGAGTATTGTCTCCGTGTTCTGTGTGACCATTGCAATGAATTATTGAACCTAGCAGAGAAGTAGATAGTGCTGTGGAACAAATGGATGGTGTCAGAATTGGTAAAAAGGTTAGAAAGTGAAGGCATGTCTAATCATTACCTTTCTGGAATCAACCTTGGGTGGGGACTGATGGTGATTTTCCTCCAACCCCCTTGAAAAGTTAGAGGTGGTCAGAAGTCCCTCTCTACCATTTTACTGTCAGAGAATGTCAGATGGTTTTCCAAAAAAAGGTAACAAATTATACTCCCATAAATAATGTGTAGAGTTTCCAAGGCTAGAGGGTAGACATGCAGTAATGGGACCAATGGCAAATGAAATCACAAGAGGTACACAGGAGTAACTGACAACAAAGGTAAATATGGTTAGACACACAAGCCTGCAATAAGAGTAATAACATGTATGTGTAAATGCATAGGTAGACATGCAAGCTGAACAGATGTGAAAGGAAAAGACAGTACAGCTACAATTAGATAGGATTGACAGTGGCTATTTTTATATATCTATATGTGCTGCACGTATACCCATGACTGCAGTAGAGCATACAGAGGCAAGAGTTATAAAGACTTCTTAGCCATAAGCAAACAGCTTGAGGAAATGAGTCTCTGGGCCTGCAAGCTCAGGACCATATAGTCTTCGGTGACATCAAGCCCTGTTGGCATAACGAAGTCCACAAAGACAATGTTCCACATCCGACTGTAGTGAGTAGCAACTGTCGCCTTAAAAGCTTGTGAGCAGTCATCTAAGGTGCATCTATTGGTCTCTCCCTGTGCAGAGCAAAGAAGAGTGAAGAAAATCAAACACTTAAGGAATCAATTAGTCCACAGGACTAATGGACCACATTCACCACAACTTCCAGGACCCAGAGACCCCCGAAGAACTAGATGGTGCCCGGCTACCACTACTATTAGGATTCCCATAGAGAGTCCTAGGCAGAGAGAAAGAAAGCAAAAATGGAGAACAACGTTCAAAACCTGAAAAAGACCAGATTTCCTTGATTTAAGAGATTAGTGGACCCTCTGAGACTATGGCCTTTAGATCATCTTCAACCCTGAATGAAATTCACCCTGAGAGGCCCGCATTCTGATAAACAATAGACAGGCCTATAAAGTGAACATTAACACAAGGAAGGAATATGCTCCTCAGTATGATTAACCATATGAGACCAAAAGGGCAGCATTTGCCCCCAAACAAAGCTCAGAAAGCAGTAAAGACCAATGAATAGAAACCAAGAACCTAGGGAGGGCGAGGGAAGATTGCTGTTGCATTTAGAAGATTGAGCCAGTGCCATGAAATAAAATACATATAAATTGTTAAATGGAAAACTAAGTTGCTCTATAAACTTTCTCGCAAACTACAATGAGAGAAAGAGAGGGAAGAAAAAAAATGTTAAAGTGCTTAATGTTGTTAAACTCAAGCCTCAAGTTGCAATGTTAAAAGAGTCTATGGACAAAATATTGAATGATGCAGGAAGCATCAAAAGATGATGGAAGGAATACACAGAGTCATTATATCAAAAGAACGAATCTTCCACCATTTCAAAAGCTAGCATATGATCAAGAATGAATAGTGGTGAAGGAAGAAGTCCAAGCTGCACTGAAGAAAACAGGGGAAAAACAAGACTCCAGGAATTTGCAGAATACCAATGGAGATGTTTCAACACACTGATAATGCGCTGGAAGCACTCACTCATCTATTCCAAGAAATTTGGAAGACAGGTACCTAGTCAAGTGGAAGAGATCCATATTTGTATCTATTCCAAAGAAAGGTGACCCCCACAGAACGCACAAATTATAGAACAATGTAATTGATATCACATGCAAGTAACTTTTTGCTAAAGATTTTTCAACAACAGTTTCAGCAGCACAGCCTCAGAGAGCTGCCAGAGTTCAGGCAGGATTCAGAAGAGGATGTGAAACAAGGGATATCATTGCTGATGTCAAAGCAGGGAATTACAAAAAAATATATTTACTTTTTTTAACTTTTGTTTTATTGTTTATGCAAAGGTTAAACAGTATTGAGAAGAATGGGAATTCTTGACCATATGTCCAAAGTATGTAAGACGAAGTCTTGCCATCAAATGTATCTACTCTTCTACGGTCTTCCTTATTAAAAGTCCAACTCTTGAACATAGAGTAGCTAATTGCAAATGGATGAAATGATTAAGTAAAAGAGCTGTCCAGAAAACATTTCAAAGGACAGCTCAAAAAGACAAAGTAAAATATTACAATGAAATGTGCAAAGACCTAGAGTTAGAAAGCTGAAAGGGAAAAACAAACTCAGCATATCTCAAAGTGAAAGAATTTAAGAAAAAAATTCAAGTCTTGAGTTGAAATATTCAAGGATTCCATTGACACAATACTGAATGATGCATGAAGCATCAAAAGAAGATAGAAGGAATACACAGTTCACCATATGAAAAACAATTGGTCAACATTCAACCATTTCAAGAGGAATCATGATCAAGAACTAAGCTGCACTGAGACGTTAGCAAAATCCAAAACTTAAAAAACAAACAAAAAACGTAACTGTCATCGAGTAAATTCTGACTCATAGTGACTATAGGACAGAGTAGAACTGCTCCTGAGAGTTTTCGAAACTATAACTCTTTACAGGAGTAGAACACCTTGTCTTTCTCCCTTGGAACTGGCTGGTGGTTTTGAACTACTGACTTTGAGGTTAGCAGCCCAATGTCTAACTACTAGCCCACTATGACAAAAAATTGATGGACTACTAATTGAAATGTTTCATCAAGCTCATGATGTATTGGAAGTGCTCCCTTATCAATGTTAAGTTTGAAAGGCAGCTATCTGGCCAACTGATCAGAAAATATCCATATTTGTACCCATTCCAAAAGAATATGGAAATGATCTAACAATATCATGAATATCACATGCAAGTAAAATTTTGCAGGAGATGATTCAAAAAAGTTGCAACAGCAGTACATCATCAGGGACGTGCTGTAACTTCAAGCTGAATTCAGAAGAGAATGTGGACAAAGGGATGTTGCTGATGTTAGATTGATCTTGGCTAAAAGCAGTGAATATCAGAAAGAGGCTTATCTGTTTCATAGACTATGCAAAGGCATTGAACTGTGTGGATAATAACAAATGATGGTTAACTATGTGAGGAACGGGAATTCCAGAACACTTCATTGTGCTCCTGGGGAAACTGCCCACGAGCCAGGAGGCAGGCGTTCAAGCAGATTTAAAATCAGGGAAAGTATGTATCCGGGTTGCGTCCAGTCTGTATGCTGAGCAAAGAATCCCAGAAGCTAGCCTCTGAGAAGAGGAACGTGGCATCAGGACTGAAGGAAGGTTTATTAACAACCTGCAATATACAGACGACACAAACTTGCTTGCCGAAAGCTTGAGGAGGACTTGAAGTACTCTGATGAAAATTGAAAACTGCATTCATCAGTGTGGATGGCAACTCAGTGCAAAACAAACAACAAAACAAAATCCTCACAACTGGCCCAATAGACAACATCATGATAACCAGGAAAAAGATTGATGTTTTTTCAAGGACTGCATTTTTCTTGGATCCACAAGCGCTGCTCGTGGAAGTAGCAGTCAGGAGATCGAACAATGCATTGCATTGGGTAAATCTACTTCGCAAGATCTCTTTAAGGTGTTGAAGAGCAGGAACCTCACTTGGAGGCCTCAGGTGCCCCTGACACACATCATGGTATTTTCACTTGCCTCGTCTGCATGTGAAATGAGCCATGGCTAAGGAGGGCCACAGAAGACTCCATGAATTTGAATGATGGTATTGCAATGCAAATGGAAAGTACCAGGGACTGTCAGATGAACAAACCAATCTGTCCTGGAAGAAGTGCAGCCAGAGTGCTCCTTAGAAGAAATGAGAACATCATGCTTGGTAAAGTAGAGGGTCTGTGAAAAAAGGAAGAAGGAGCTTGGCACAGTGGTTGCAATTGTGAGGGTGTTGCAGGACGGAGCAGTGTGTTGTCCTGTTGTCCACCGGGTCACTGTGAATCAGAACCGAGTCAACAGCACTCATCAGCAAGTATTAGTGAGTGAAACACTATGATGTTTGTGACCTGAGATTTACCTCAAGAATCACAAGGGGTAAAAAAGGAAAGGAGAGAGATGAAACAAGGGGTGCCAAATCTTGTCAATTTTGAAGCAAGGTAATTTGGGTGGGGATCTTACATGGTTTCCTGTACTTTGTTTTTCATAATAAATTTTGTTTCCATTTTTTTCTTTAAATCATTTTATTGGGGACTCATACAACTCTTATCACAATCCATCCATCCATCCATTATGTCAAGCACATTTGTACATTCGTCGCCCTCATCATTTCTCAGAATATTTGCTCTCCATGTCAGCCCCTGGCATCAGCTTTTGTTTTCATTTTTAAGGGCCTCACTTTCCTAATAATGCATTTGGGTTATTGTTTCAGGGATTGGTGACATTCTGGGATGTGACCATAGAGTTTTCTCAGGAAGAATGGAAATACCTGGAACCTGCCCAGAAGGACTTGTACAGGGATGTGACTTTGGAGAACTTCCGTAACTTAGCTTCACTGGGTAAGGGTATTGTATCAGACAGGGCCAGGCAGAAAACAAGGCACTTGTGGACAGCCACAGGGAAAGCCTGTTACCCACCCCACCCCCACCCCCCTCTGGCCAGGAAGAGTCAGAAGGGAGGAGATCTGTTCTTGTTAGGTGCTAAAAGACTCCCTGGTCCTGCACCATCCTCACAACTGTTGCTGTGCTCACGCTCCTTCTTTTAGCCACTGTGTCAGTGCATCTTCTTGAGGGTCTTTCTCTCTTGAATGACCCTTTACCAAGCATCATGTCCTTCTCCAGGGACTGGTCCCTCCAGTGAGCCAAGAAGGGCCCAGCAAGCAGCAGTTGTAGCTACAACTGGAACTCCTGAGTCAAGGAAGAGAGGAGGCGGAGTAAAACGTTACTCTCTCTCCTCTTGTCTGCTGACCTGCAAGTGCTTTCTATCTGGCCAACTCAACAGGGCCCCATAGGACAAAGGTAATAGTCCTACAAGTAGGAAGTTTAGGGCATAGACAGGGACAAAGAACAGGATAAGGAACAGCAAGTAATGGATGGTGGGGGGTGGAGGGGGCGTAAATGGAGAATAACTACCATAGATATGTATGCCCCACATAATTTGGGCAGAATATTTTAGAATTCATTTTCTCCCTGTGAGTTTCTAGGGTGACTTCAAAATTTCTGATTGAATTCCTGCCGTCTATTCCCAAGAAAATTGTTTTGTGTTTTGTGGAACTGGAAATAGGCAATTCCACCGGACACATCTGTCTTCCCGTCTTCTGGACAACATTCACACCTTTCTAGTAATTGCTTCTCTTCCTTGGCACTCAAGGGTCTAGATTCGAACTTTGGAACAGCATGGTCATACCCTCTGTTTCTTTTCAAATAAACAGGAATTTCCATTTCGAAGCCTGATGTCATCTCTTTTTTGGAGCACGAGAAAGAGCCCTGGATGCTGGCAAGAGAAATGACAAAGCAGTGGTGTCCAGGTAGGCAGGGCTAATCCAATGAGGGAGATCATTGGGGACACTATCCCAGTGGTTGAGCTAAATGATAAACAGTAACTTGAGTTACTAGTGCGAAGCTTCTTTCAAAACCTTATCTCACACTGTGGAATAAAACCTAAGCTGAAAGAAGAAAGACTGTGCCCATATTAGCTCCCAAGGGAACTTCCCCTTCATTCCTGTCTGTTTCTTTTCTCCTCTCCTATTCTCCTCTCACTTCAAAGAGAGATGCCCCATTCTTCTCTGGTGGCCACCTTTTGTCTGTTTTTGTTTGCTTTTATTATTGCCATTCTAGGGATAATGTGCTATCATGATATATGGGTTTACATCTCACTGAGCAGCCTTGGTGGCCCTGTGGGTTAAGCAACAGTGAAAACCCATGAGCTGCTTCTCAGGAAGGACCTGAGGCTCCTACTCCCGTAAAGGTCTGCAGTCTTGGAAACTTAATTTAGGGTTTCTGTGAGTCGTGATTGACATGATGGCAGTGGGGTTTTGTTTTTCTTTTTTAGTTCAATGGCTAATAACAGTAGCATCTTTTCATGTGCTTGTTAATGAAATGTCTGTAAAGCCCTTTGCCCGTTTTTTATGAAGATGCTATTTTAAGTTCAAAATTGAAAACGTTAAAACTTTAATATCAGTAAAAAAATCAAGCCAAAATTTAAAAATATATTCATCTTTTATCAAATAATTAACGGTTTCTTTGATTTTTGGACACTTTTCTAGCACCATGAATCATGCCAGAATTACATTCTTTAATATAATGAACTGTACAGTATTTAGCCTTTAAATTTTTAATGGGGCAAAATAATTCCGTTCCATTTCTTAGTGGAAAACATGATCATAAATGTAGTACTCTTAGTCTTTGAACAATGGTTTCATAATCAGGATCACCACCACCAAGATTTGTAAAACTCTGGTTTTTCCTCTCTTACATTTTATTAATCTTCTTAGGACTCAACATACTGCATATACAATATTCAATATACTTAACATACAATAACATATCCTGTTATGTATGGCCATGTCGACAAAGTTCTAATTACAGTAGGAAGGCATCAAAAAAACAGTAAGCAGAGATTTTCAGTTTGATTGACATAAGCATTATTTGATGGAAAGTTAAAAATTTTAAATGCATTATTTATGTGAACCACTCAGAACAGGCAGATTTATAGACAAAAAGAAGACGAGTTATTTCCAAGGAGTGGGAGGAGGTAGGGATTGGGAGTCCCTGCACAGGTTTTCTATTTGGGATGATAAAAATGTTCTAAAGCTAGAAGGTGATTGTGTCTGCACCACATTATGAATCTACTAAAAGAACCCACTTCTCCTCGGCTATCAAACAGCCTAACACTTTAAAACATTCAATTTTATGTATTATATGACATAATCATTCCTATAGTTTCTTTTCATAGTTTTGTGTTACATGAATTTTATTCAGTCTAGGTAATTCTTAGACATTTGTATTATTAACAGATTTCTTGGGTGATTCCAATTCATATTAAGATTCAAAACCCCTGACTTAATTTGTTTTCTCAGCTTTTCTGTCACCATCTAAGCTCTAATTATCTTTGTGCTTTCATGTATTTTTAAAAAATCACCCACCAATATTTGAGACTTATGCAGACCATTGACTGTTACTCTTATTTTGTCTATTATAGAACTTTCATTTTCTCTCTCTATTCTACTGTAGAATTGTTATTTGTTTACACAAAAGAGGAGACTTATTTGTATTTACTGTATTCTTATTTTTCAGACCTGGTTTCCAGACAGGAGAAATTACAACAAAAAAACATTGTAGAAATAGAATCTCTCAACTGGGAGATAACAGAAAGCCTTCAATGCTGTGATCTTGAGGAGCCTAGTTTTACAGAAGGCTGGGAAAGCAGAGGCCAGTTTGAGAGACAACAAGAAAATCAACACTGCTATTTCAAGCAAATGAGAATTACCTATGAAAGCTTGCCCACTTTTGAGAATCATGCATCCTTCACACTACATCATGGAAAGGAGACTGGAAAGAAACTGATTGAATGTAAGGAATGTGGGAAAGAATTTAGTCGAGGTGGACACCTTATTCAACATCAAAGAACTCATACGGGTGAAAAACCCTTTCAATGTAAGGTCTGTGGAAAGACCTTTCGTCGTGCCTCACACCTTGTGCAGCATCAGAGAATTCATACATGTGAGAAACCATATGACTGTGAAGAATGTGGGAAGGCCTTTGGTCGTACTGCTGAACTTCTTCTACATCAAAGACTTCACACTGGTGTCAAACCCTTCGAATGTAAAGACTGTAGAAAGACCTTTAGACAGCATTCACAACTTATTCTACATCAAAGAACTCACACAGGTGAGAAACCTCATGTATGTAAAGACTGTGGGAAGGCCTTTATTCGTGGCTCACAACTTACTGTACACCGGAGAATTCATACAGGTGCTAGGCCTTATCAGTGTAAAGAATGTGGGAAAGCCTTTAGACAACATTCACAGCTGACTGTACACTATAGGATTCATACTGGTGAGAAACCCTATGAATGTAAAGAATGTGGGAAGGGCTTTATTCATAGTTCAGAAGTTACTAGACATCAAAGAATTCATTCTGGGGAGAAGCCCTATGAATGTAAGGAATGTGGGAAGGCCTTTAGACAGCATGCACAGCTTACTCGCCATCAAAGGGTTCACACTGGTGATAGACCTTATGAATGTAAAGAATGTGGAAAGGCCTTTAGTCGTAGTTCATACCTTACTCAGCATCAAAGAATTCACACAGGTGACAAGCCTTATGAATGTAAAGAATGTGGGAAAGCCTTTATTCGTGTGTCCCAGCTGACTCAGCATCAGCGAATTCATACTTACGAGAAACCCTATGAGTGTAGCGAATGTGGGATGGCCTTTATCCGTAGTTCACAGCTCACTGAACACCAGAGGATTCACCCTGGTATCAAACCATATGAATGTAGAGAATGTGGGCAGGCCTTTGTTCTCGGCTCACAACTCATTGAACATTATAGAACTCATACAGGGTAAAAAGCCTTGAATGTCAAGAAGTGCATACCTGGTTTCATATGAGATCATTTGAATGAGAGCAAATGAATGTTAAAAGCCTTCATTTGCCACTTTCTTTTGAGACATCAAAGAGCTTACACCAGAAGAAACTAATAAATTTGGGCTTCTTTTTGCCTCACACGACTGCTTACTAAGCACCAGAGAACTTATGGTGAAAATGCTATATGAATGTAGAAAACTCTTCTGTTGCCACTCAAAATGTGTTAAATTTCCAAAAATTCCTAGTAGAGAATAACCATTTAAAAACATTTAATGAATTTATCTTTAAGCATAGCATATACCTTATCTAACATTGCCTCAGTTCCATCAAATACTGACCCAATGGATTTGAACAAACTACACAGTCTCTCTGTCCCTCAAATGATTTCAATGGTTATGATTATACTTATCTAATAGAGAGTTTTTATGAGGACTGAATTAAATATTTTGTATAAAGCCTAGGGATCTACATTTGCTCAATAAGCATTAGCTATACTTGGCATGAGTTGTTGTTGTTTTTTTATCAGCATTGACTGTTGAGGAGTTCATATAAAAATCAGACTTTTAAAAAAAAGAAGAAAATCAGACTTTATGAATATATGAATATCAAAAAGCCTTCTAACTACTTGTTATGATAATTCATTCTGAGAAAGCATAATTATTTTGAAAAGGCCTTCATTTGAAAGGTTATAAATTCAGAAGATTAGAAATTAGCAGACGAGTAGCCAAAAATAATCCTCATAACTTGATCAACAGACAACATCATGCTCAACAGAGAAACCATTGAGGTTGTCAGGGATTTCATTTTGCTGGGACCCATCGTCAGTGCTCATGGAATCAGCAGCCTTGAAATCAGTGTTGTGCGTTGGGAAAATATCCTGCACAGGACTTCTTTAAAGTGTTGAACAGCAACACTTTCAGGGCTAAGATGCACCGGACCCCAGTCTTGGTATTTTCAGTTACCTCGTCTTATGTAAAAATTGGACATTGAATAAGAAAGACCAGAGAACAATCGATATGGACAGTGCATGATCTGTCCGAGGAGCAAACAGATCTGCCTTGAAAGAAGTATGGGCAGAGTGCTGCTGCGAAGCAGGGATAGCAGCACTCTGTCTCCTGTGCTTTGGAGATGTTATCAGGAGAGACCGGTCCCTGGAGAAGAATATCATGCTTGGTAAAGCAGAAGGTCGGCAGAAAAGAAGACGACCCTCAAGGACATAGATTGACATGGTGACTGCAACAGTGAGCTCAAACATCGCAACACTTGGAGCATGGCACCGGCGAAGGGAAGAGTCACTCTACTCTACATCGAGTCAGTGTTCATTGAAGCCAACTTGATGGCGCCTCACAGCAGCCAAGAGAAAATTCCCATTTTGGAAATCTAAAATTGGAAACTAGAGATTTCGAATAGTGAATTCTATGCCTCAACACCAGTATAGGGTGACAAAGCTATATTTTTGTCAGAACCCAAGGACTGGAAGTAGGAAGTTGGTTCACCAAGTGTATGTCTTCAGCTCCGAGTCATCGCCAGTCACACGCTAAGCATGTTGAACGCATGATTAGATAGAAGTTACAACTTAAACCAAAGTCAGTCGATGGAAGATGTACCAAAGCAAGAAAGATATTAAAAAATGGAAGATAAAATTAATAAAATAGAAAATCAAATGGTAGATTGAATCCAAAGCTTGTTTATTTAACAATACAGTTAAGACAGGCTATTGGCAAATACCAGAAGCCCCGCTAGTGCTGTTGGGTAAGGGTTGGCCTGCTCCTGCAGGCTCGGCTGTCCCACCAGCCCCTTCCCAAGTGTTGTTCCCATAGATTTACAGCCTGGGAATCCTTTCAGAGTTAGCATTGACTGGACAGCAGTGGATTTTATTTTATATTTTTTTATGTTTTTGCTAATGTGATCTAGAAAAAAGCTAACACATTTAGCATTTTGAATGAGAAAGAGTATAGATATTTTAAAAATCCAGAAAATGTGGACTACCTGAATTAAGCCGTGTAGGAGGATTTTTTTTTTTTTAAGTCATCAAAGTGCTATCCCAGTGTTTCCCAAAGTGGGTGATACCGCTCCTTGGAGAACGCTGGAAAAATCTAGTGGGATGGCAAAACAGACAACCTCTGTTGTACCCTGCGTTATGTGGTGTAGGCTATAGTACATTTTTGATTACCAAGGGGGCACTGAGTAATTTTCTTTCCCTAAAAAGAGGGAAGTAGGCCATATCCGTTTGGGAACCTATGCTTTTTAAAGAAAACAACTTAGCCCATAGAAACTTCAAGACACAGATAATTCCTAAGTTACCTCCCATGGGAAGGTTGACAAATCACGTTGAAGGTTAAGTAAAATTCTGTTCGAGAACCCAAGAGGCAAGCGAATTTTGGGAATGATGAGGGCAACAAATGTATAGATGTGCTTTACACAATTGATCTATGTATTGTGATGAATTGTGTGAGCCCCAATAAATTGATTTTTTTTAAATTCTGTTAACAAAACTTCCAAAGCATAAATCACTGTCATTTATGAAGATAACTCTGAACAAAATAATAATTGATTAAAATTAAGAAATTCATTTTTAAAGTCTGGAACGTCACTTGGTCTAGATGAATGTTTTCAGAATATTGATGTTAAAGCTCCAGGATATAATCATCATGGAGAAAAGGCCTTGATACAACCTCAGCGACACCTGGGAATTGAGGCTTGTGTAGGGATCTCAGGGATCTCATGACACTGATCCTCTCATCTCTTAGGATAGCCAGGTTAAGGGTCCATTGTACTGCAATGTCAGTCATCTTACCAGTCGTCCCAAGTGTTTGGTTAAAATGCCTACATTTTCTGCATATGTTATTGCTTACAAAAGATTACAAAGTCATCATCTGCTTGACTTTGCGTTGTTGATTTCATGATTAGGATGTACAGTTAAAGGTGACATTTTAAAAATACTACTTTGAATAGCTAAACTGCTGAGGTTCAGATTTTATATTCAGAGATAAGTGAATCTCCATGCTATCTCTACACACCTCCTAGTCAGTTATCCTTTATGGAGCAATCACGGCTACTCTTGTATGTACATCCTGCTTTTAATGTTTACAACAACATAGACAGATTTCTAACACGTTTTTTATTGTTTCACACAAATGTTAGTAAATTTCTAATATAGTCATTTTCCCTTAACCATACATATTTTCACATAGCCGTATAATCATATTATATATAGATTCATTTTATTTGTTGTTTGTTCTTTCTCTTTCAAAACCATTGGAAATTAATACAGATATTATATCATTCCATAGTTCAATCACATCAAGCAGTATTGTACAATTGCTCCACAGTTTCAAAACTATAGATTCATTTTTAACAGCTGCATAGTGTTCCATAATTTATTTTCCCTCGGTAATTTTAAGTGTTTTAAATTATCTTTTGTAAAAAAAGAAAAATTTTTTAAAAAGAAAAAAAGAAAAGAAAAAGAAAAATTATCTTTTGTTTGTTTTTCAAAAATAATCCTAAAATAAGTATCTTGCACATAAAATATTCTGTACATGTGTGATGTATCTTTAGGATAAATTCCTAGAAGTGGAAATGCTGGATTAAAATGACACACTTTTTAAACTTTGAATTATCAACTTTTAGCAAATTGAAAAATAAATGAATCTTAAATTGAATCATAAGGCATCTATCACCAGCTGATCAGTTTACAGCCAATCTTCCTTTGTATTCCCATCCACTACCCCATCTTCATATTATTTGTTAATAAGCAAGTCACAGAAATATCCATGTATGTCACAATTTTAGGTAAGATTCTTACTCCTTTGAAATGTACAACATTGGCTTCCTATTGTTATATACCTGGTACTCAGGGCTCTTTCCTTACCCTCCAAATTTTGTCCTTGGTTAAATGCTGCCCTTTTGATGGCAAATGACTGATGATTCTAAGGACTGCGTTATTATCCCTTAGTATTGTTATCCCCCTTACAGGCTTTTCTGATGTTTGGCGAAACCTTGAGCCCTGGAGGCAAGTTCATTTCCAGAACCGCGAGGTGGCTGAGGGGCATGCGGGAAGAAGGTTCTTCTGTCTCTGTCTGACCAGAACACCTGGTATTTTTTATGCTTTGAGTGTTGATTCCACATAATTCTCCCACTCCAAAACCTTTTAATGTGATCCCTATTCCACGAAGTTAGTGATAGTGCGACATCATCTAGTTCTTCTGGTTTCAGGGTCATGGAGATTGAGGTTCACGTGGCCCATTAGTCCATTTGACTAATAGTTTCCCATGTGCTTTTGCTTTTCCTTCCGACAGAGACCGATAGCTGTACCTTACAAGACCACTCCTCTAAGGTCAAGAGCCCAGGCAGTACCCACCAAAACAGGATTCATAGGCTCTTCTAACCTCAGTGTTTCCTGAAAATTGGTAGTTGGAATATAGAGGCCTGATCAGATACTGAGGTTTAAATGTGTGTGTGTGTGTGTGTGTGTGTGTGTGTGCAGGTGCACACAAGATTACTTCTTAGTTGATATAGGAATGGTGTTGGAGTGGTGTTCTGGCCACCTCTGACTTTGAAAGGGAGAAGGGGAATCAAACTCAACGTCATCCCAATGCTGACTCCTATGAAGCAAAGATGGGACCTGCCTCCACCCTTCACCCTTCTGAAACTAACCTTCCCTCTTCGGCACTTCTCACTTCTCTGCTGGGTCTGAGAATTCACTGCAATGGCCACATAGAACTCACAGACAATACTCACAATTGGGGGGGAGGTTTATTAGGAAAGTTAACATATTATAATTCAGGGTCAGAAATGCTCAGTGTTCGGTCCATAGTTCCTCTTCTCAGCCCATCGGCATGCCTCTCTCTGATCCTCCATTTCAGCCACACGGCCCCTGGCCTCTGCCCTGCGCAGGCCAAGTTATAAAGCTCTTTTAGGGCTGCTATTAAATGCCCAAAAGGCATCCAATTCCACCATAAGCTTTAGCATGAAGGCATTCGGTTCTGGTTCCATGGTTTACAAACCTAGTTCTCCTGATTAAAAACCTAGAGGTGCCTTATCCTGCAAGCCAGCCTCCTGCCCAAAGGCACTCACTCAGCTCTCTCAGTCTGCGGACCAGGTGCTGCGGCCGCTTCTGCCACTGCTTCTTTGTCACTTCTTTGGTGTCACCGCTATCTCCTGGATCAAGGAGGCTCAGTGCACAGGCACCTCGGGGTCCACATGATGCACTCTTGACTCTTCTTTCTTGGTGGTCATGAGATTGCCCCCATTGCTGCTTCATTTTAAGCGCAGGGGATGGCAAAACTGGCCAGTTCCCATGTTAGAATTCCATACACCCCATTCACATGGTCTCACCCAGTCATTTGGTCAGAGGCATGACGACTATGGCTAAAAGAGCCATATCAAGAAATCCGTTGTACCACAGCTGTTAATATTAAGCAACATACAATATGCGAGGAGCTTATTATGATGTTAGTAACTATTGATGTTCAATTGATGTGTTCATTTATTAGGGATTATATTTGTATAAAGTTCCTAGCATAAGATTAACTTCACCAAGGGTTAGCTCGCTTCCTATTCATTTGATCCTCTCACACACACACCCTGGGTGTGAGGATTATATGCCACTTTCAGAATGTGACTTTGAAAATCTAAATTTAGAATATTTTTTCAGTAGACAAATAATCCATAAAATAGTTCATTATTCTAACCCAGAAATTGGCAATGCTCGGCAAAAGATAAGAAAAATGTTTACTAAAAATTATTCTTCTTTTTTTTTTTTTTAACATTTTATTAGGGGCTCATACAACTGTTATCCCAATCCATACACACATCAATTGTGTAAAGCGTATTTGTACATCATTTCTCAAAACATTTTCTCTCCATTTAAACCCCCGACATTAGGTCCTCATTTTTCCCCTCCTTCCTAAAAATTATTATTCTTAACAAAAAATAGATTCGAAAAAATATTGTAAGGGTTGTCCCTACAAAAGTAATGATGGTCAAATTCAGTAAGACAGAGCATATGCAAAAAAATGTGAAGGGAAACATGATTAGTAATTTTACCCAAAGATAAATGTGACTATTTTTGCATATTTATTTCTTTCTAGATTTTTTCAAAGTTTTTTTTCAATTTACATTTATTATAGGAAACTTCAAGCGTACCAGGAAGTAAAAAGGAAAATACAGTGACCACCAATACTCTCATCATCCATCTATGAAAAATCGTCAACCATGTTTCATTGATACTTGTACTCACTTCCTCCTTAAATCAATTCATTGGAAAGCAAAACCCAGATGTATGACATCTGTAAGCACTGCAGAAATTATCTCTAAAAGAATATTTTTAAAAAGAAAAGTATCAGTGAGAATTTGTAATCCTGGGCCCTTAGAAGGGAAGGCAATAACAATTCCTACCAAAATCTCATTATCCCTCTAATTGTGATTGCAGAGAAGTTGGTTCACATATATTTAAAACAATCTAAGAGAGGTTTTTCTTAGCAGCAATATTAATTTTTTAAATCATTTTATTGGGGGCTCTTACAGCTATTATAACAATCCATTGTTTCAAGCACATATGTACATAGGTTGCCATCATCACTTTCAAAACATTTTCTTTCTACTTGAACCCTTGGTATCAGCTCCTCTTTTTCCCCTCCCTCACTCCCCCATCCCCCACCCACCCTC